TCAAAAACTAACAAAATGTCATGACATAGATCATTGTTTTTTTTACAAATTGCGTTGCCTACTCGATTTTAAGAAGCAAAGGGCTGTTTTTAGGGTTTTCCCGGCAATTATTCGTTTTTTTTCTCGCCGTAACAACCATCCTTGGACTTCAACGAACATTTTAAAAAAAGAATTGGCCAAATTGGTCCAGGCGTTGTTGAGTTATGCGCTTACCAACACATTTTGCGATCCATTTTTATATATAAGATTAAACATTATTTTTCTTTCCAGATAACATCTCCTCCGCTTACCCTCCACACTACCTCGACTTCTGGCAGCACGACCCCCCAGCCTATTCGCCCCAAGGAGACACCTGGAACTCGGACCCCCTATCGGCTTCAGCAGACCGTTCTTCATCCCGCCGCATTGACTCGTCCCCATCAGGCGACTTCCACCACAACCATCACCAGCAATATCCAGAACGTCGATACGATGGTAGACACGACTACGGAGAAGGCGTCCAGAACCCGCACTGGCGGGTCGAGCAGCAGAGCCCTCCTTACTCGAATGTTGGCTTATACGGAACTGTGCATCCTAGGGACGGTGTTGGCGTTCGTGTGGCTGACGGTCCTGGCCCAAATGTTCAGGGCCAGGGTCACGGCGTCGGCGGCGGGTTCCCGAATCAGATCGGTACAGGAGGACATTCGGGGAGGAGGAAAGTTAGGCCGCACGTAAATGGTAATAATTGACTAAATAATACTAGTGCTTTAAATAATTCAAAAAATCTTATTTTTATCGTTTCTAAACGCCTGGAGTAAATTTTTACTTGAAACCATTTTTTTCCAACACGATGAATTTATAATTTGAGCAAGGCATATTTGGATTACTTCCAACAATCTGCTCTCAGCATTCCTTTGAAGTCCTTTTCAAATGTTAAAAAATTCTTTTGTTCTTGTTTTTTTGTCTAGATTTTTGTTTCTAGTGTAAAGATCATCTAAACTATAAAAATTGACCAAGTTTGTTTTAAATTTTTTGATAAATCCCTAATATAGTATTTTTGCTTTATTGTTGATTGTTGTATCTTAAGGGGGTATTCTAGTGTAGAAATTCAAAAAACTTGAATTTTTTTTAATTTCATATTTTCAAAGTTTAATTATCTAAGAATATGGGTACGAGAAGGTTTTCGAAAATTTGAATTATTTTCGGAGATATAGGCATTTTACTGACTCGGTCTTCATACTCGTTTGTCTTCACGCAAAACTTTAAATGCGTTTTTCTCAGAACAGACTTTTTCAGTACTGTTGACACGATTAGTCGAGTTTTAATCGACCGATTCACTTGAAATATTCAGAGAGTCTTGTTTATAGACTTAGCTATAGCCTGAACTAAGATTATCTCCAATTCCAATTTTTACTGTTTTTAAAAAATTCGAGAAACTCAAAAAACAGTAAAAAAGCACTTTTTTTCAAACAGTCGCCAATTTAAAAAAAAAATCTTTTACTCATCGCTAGTTCAGGCGATTGCGACATCATTGTAGATTAATAATCTGTTATTTTTTGCATTTCCGATGGCTATGAGGGCTGAAATCATGGCAAGACTGAGATGCCAATTTTTTGAGACTACCCACTTTATCAGCTGCCAGTTTTTACAATTTTCAACTTTTTTATTTTTGTTTTGTATTTTAATAATATTAATAAATAAGTGGTAAAAAAATGGATAGTAAAAACATTCATTGCTTTCTTTATGACACTTTAAAAATGACCTAAAATTCATCGCTCTACACTAGAATACCCCCTTAAGTTATCCATTTCACATAAATAGAATACTTATTTCAATTGTCTTAGAGTACATGTTGTAGATATATATAAAGATGTGAATACAATAATGTTAACATTATAAATCAATATCGCTATTAGATTGTGATTAACTTCTCTTATTCTCACTGACTTTAGTTCATCAACGTGTGTGGTCATACATCAATTTGTATCATTCTTAAATTAGAATTTTTTTAGCAATTGAGATGACGATGACTTGAGATGAAGATTAAAATACACCGCTTTTAGATGGGGTTTAGATATAAATTTCTTTTAACAAAATTCTTGCGTACCCGTAATTAATGCTGTTGACGCTTGAAAATAATACTTCTTACAATATAAAATAATTAACAATTAACAAAATCAGGTCGTAGAGGCAGACGTAACGAAACTGCATTTATTCATGATATAAATAATGGGGCCCCTCAAGTACACAGACGCAATGGTACCTTAGTTTTGGTATATCCTACTCAGAAACCAACACTCACTAGAGGTAAGCGAGGTAAATCTGTCCACGATATTCCTATGCATGACGATGGTAAATCATCAAATTCACCAAATCACCAACTAATGGCAAGTCACGAATTCATCAAAGCACGGAATATCACTAATTCACCAATTCACAAAGCCTGTATTTTGCACATTTTCATCCACACAGCACGTACACATTTGCTTTTCTCATCATTAGATTAATTGGAATGGACATATACGCTTTATTCTAAAGGAGAAATGGAATACCATTCTGCAAAAACGCTCTCAAGCACTTCTGCTTTACTAACTTCTGACTACCTGTAAGATATATATCGTTAAATTTTTTGGTCAAGGAATCAATGTGTACACTCTAGGCGGATCAAATAGTAATTTGGTGTCCAAGTTAGTATTTGACCTGAACATCAAATTACCA